GGTTGCTTTTAGGGAGCTCTTGGCAGTTATTTCTTTTGAAAGTCCTTTTCAGTGTAGTACAAGCTTTCTTGAGGTTAGCTTGCATGATCAGAGATCGATCAGCATCCAACTATGACTCATTACTCTTGTTAGTGATGGATTCTTTTCCACCATGACTCAAAATGGGAACATTTTAATTACTTGGAAAACAACCAGCTTTCTTTAAGGGTTTTGGGTTGCCTGATTTTAGAGAACAGTTTGACTTTCATCTACTTTGACCCTGGTAAAACAATTGCAAACTTGTTGAGAATTAGTGCCATCAACAACGTTTAGCTCAGTGCTATAAGACTCTTCCATAATTTTTACTTATATTAATGGATATCTACTTCTCTATAAATATTTGAAATGTTGATAGGATGGGAAGGTTAGCTCGGCCAAAAAATATATTCTCTTTTCTATTTGCATCCCAGAAACATAGGCATATTAAAAATACCCATAACTTTTCTTCAAATACTCCCAACTTAATTGGCAGTATTTTCATTTATCTTACTATTCATTGTCTGTCCAGAAGTGGTCATGTACCACCAAGTATATTTTACTCTTTTGTCTCTAGGATAAATCTAAACTTTCTCATCAATAGATTCTGTGTATCTGTTTAGAAGTGGTTTTCAAAAAACTGGCATAACTTTGAAATTTTTATTGCATAAGTAGTGGTCTACAAGGGGAGTCCTGTACAGATATTCTTCTAGTGGTATTCCTGGGGCAGTAGCAAATCCATTCCCTACTCTGCATTGTCCTGTGGACTAGAACGTAAGGAAAGGTCTGTCCCAGTTTTTAGTAATCTGGTGTAATTTTGAATATGGCTTGGGTCAGTTCCCTTGCTCCTTGGGAATGGACATAGCCACATTGTTATCGTGACCTAATCTGATGGGTTTGAACAATTTACCTTGAGAAGCTAGAAAGACCAGATCATTTGGGGCTTCTATAATTACTACATTGCCTTAAGCCAGGAAATAACTGACATTTATATAGAGTTTTAAAGTTTGCAAAGCTCTTTATGTTCTTGTCTCATTTTTTCATCATTTTATAGATAAGGAGGTTCTTTGACTTTCTCATGGCAGCCTAATGTAAAGTATTGGTCTAAATCTAATTTTTGCTGTGGCTGTTTTAATCAAATAGGAAGTTTTTCCTAAGTAATTTGTGTTTTCTGCCTTATTGAACACTAGATTATTGATTCAATTTCAATTCAATAAATATTTATTAAGCACCTACTATGTGCTAGGTATTGTGCTAAGCATTGGGGATGCAAATAAGAAAAGAAAAGATAGCCCCTGCCCTCAAGGAGCTTACGGTCCAATGGGGGTAATTCAACACATAAAAGGAAGCTGGGGGGTGGCAAAAAGGGGAGACACCAGGGGGTAACTGGCTTGGGGACATCTTGTTCTAAGGAGTGAAAACCAGGTACTACAGATGGAAAATGCAGTAAGCTGGCAAGGTCAGGTTCTGTCCTCTATAAAGGAAGGTTTTGGGTGGAGTTGAGTGCTTCCCCACCTCCAGCCATCCAATCAGAGGGAAAAGGAGGCTGGGAAAGAGTTTAAGTAACCCAGATTGAGTTAAGCAGCATGGTGATGAGGTCTGGAGTGATCTGCTTATCCTGGGCCAGGTACTTTGTTCCATGGAGAGTTCCATTTTTCCTTTAAGAAGTACTTTGAAATTAAAACGATACAAATATTTTGTGTACTCTGATAGGTGGATATCCAGATATTTTATTCATTTTATAAATAAATATTTATTTATTTTACAAATAAATATTTATTTATTTATTATTTTTATTATTTTTATTATTATATTTATATATTTTATAATATATATAATATATTTTATAATAATATAATATATTTAATATATTTTATAATAATATAATATATTATATTTATATTATAATAAACTATTATTTATTATTTATTATTTAAAATTATTTTATTATTATTTAAATTATTAAATTAAAATTAAATTATTATATTAAAAAATTTTAAAAATATTTATTTTATAAATAAATAAATAAATAAATGAAAAGTTATTTGGAATAGGATTTCCCTTTGTATTATTGCTTCTTGGATTTTGTTATTGTTTTACAGAAATGCTCTTGATTTTTGAAATTCCAGGGGTAGATCTTGCCTTGTAAGGAAATATTTATAAATAATTTGAACTATCCACATGTAGAATGGGCTCCTTGAGCAATTATTAGTCAACTCTCTCATGGTCTTCAAGCAAAGTCTTTACCAGTTATCAAGCATTTCTGTAAAAGGGATTTGTATTCAGAGATAAGTTGTACTAAATGGCCTCTGAGGCTTCTTTTAACCATGAGATTCTGTGGTTCTAGACAGAGTGCTTTTTTAAAAATATGACTTTTGACTCTAGTACCCAGTAAACTTTGTCTTTTAGACTGTAATAAATTTTAGCTTTTTAAAAAAAATAATGCCACAAATAGTGTAAAGTCCTTTAAAATAGCAGCTGCACAATTTGTATATTTACTTGGATTTGTGTAGTGGCTTAACTCATTTTTAGATAAATCATTAAATATATATAATGGAGGCAGCATATTGTAGTGGAAAGATCGCTGGACCTGGAAAGAGGAGAGGCCTTTGTGAAGATGGATAAGCCTTGGTTTCTTTATCTGCAAAGTGGAGATAAAAATACTATTCAAAACTACCTCACAGGGTGATTGTGAAGACCAAATGAGAAAATGTGTATATTTTGTAAACTGTAAGGCTTGTCAGATGCTGCTATTCTTATTCCTATTAAAATTAGAGGGTTGGTCTAGGTGATTATTAAGTCTCTTTTAGCTATAAAATTACATAATTCTCCAAATATAAAAATATTTACCAACTCACTTTGGTCAGACATAAGGGAAGTAAGTACTGTAAGGCTGATCATTGTTAAAGAGTACCAGTCAACTGCTTGTGTTAGAAACATTGCATCACCCACTGATCCCTTTCATTTGTTTCTCATTCTTTCCATCATTTGAGACTATGTAATCTAAGTCATTTTTGCTCTTTGAGAATGGTTTCCAAACTTGAAAGTTTAATGACCCCAGACTATTTACGTAAGTATTGTGTAATAATACACATTGCTGTTGTTGTTTGTCCTTCACTCTCAAAGAGGACCAATGACATCCCGATGTTGGAGTCAGGATATAGTGTGTTTGATTGTGGCTGATCAGTCCACTGTGAGCTCAGAAGGCTCCACCACAGGTCGGGCACAAATAGTATGTTTGAACTTTGGAATGGAGATGGCTCTAGATTTGCACATCTCACGTTTCCTTTGTGCTTCCACAATTCTGCTTTGCTCATGGAGCATAGCACCTTTTTTTGAGGTTCTATGCCAGTGTCTCCCATGCCTCACAATTAATACTAAAGTTCTTCAGAGAAACCTTAAGAATATCCTTGTGCCCTTTCTTCTGACCTTTGTGTGAGTGCTGGCCTTATTCGAGTTCTTTGTAAAATAGTCTTTTAGATAAATGTGCATTTGGCATTTGGGCTACATAGTCAGCCCATTGGAGTTGCATTCTCTGCAGTAGAGTTTGAATGCTTAGAAATTCAATTCGAGAAAGAACCTCAGTGTCTGGTACTTTATCTTGCCAGGTAATCTTCAGAATCTTCCTAAGACAATTCAAATGGAAGCAGTTCATTTTTCTGGCATGGCACTAGTATACTACCCAGGTTTTATAGACATACAACGATGTATGGCTCTGTAGAACTTCAGGTCGGTAGGCAGTCCAATTTTGTCCTCTATGTAGACATCCCTAGGGATGCATTCTTATAGCAAGCACTAGCATTTCATAGACTACATCATTGTAAGGAGAAGAGACGGGAAGGATGTGACCGTGATGAAACTGATGTTTGGCTCAGAGTGCTGGGCTGATCACAGATTTATCCTTTCCAGGCTAAACATTCATATGCAACAAAAGCTGAAGCCTCAAGTTAAGAAGACTGTCAGGAGACTCAGTGTTAACAGATTAGAGAGCTTCTTCTTGTGTGAACAGTTTATTACTGACCTGGAAGGAAAGCTAAGTCAGTGCATAGTAACAGTGGAGCAAAAAAGGAGTGGGCAGCTTTCAGAGGCTTGGTGTACAACACTGCATTTGCTCATCTGGGTCAGAACACTTGCCAACATCAGGATTGGTTTGATGGAAAAGATAGGGAAATCTGGAAGCTGCTAAATGAAAAAATGAGAACTCCACAGGGTTTGCCAATAGGACAGTTCAGTTGTTGCTAAAAAGACAGCATTTAACTCCGTCAAAATTAAAGCATAAGCGAAGCTTAGAGAGATGCAGGATTCCTGGCATAATAAGAAAGCAGAAGACATTGAGTTTTATGGTGATAGAAACAATCCAAAGCACTTATATGATGCCCTGAAGACTATGGGCCAAAGACCTCTGGTGCATCTCAATTACTCGGTGCTGATTGTCACATTGAGTCACATTGATTAGTGATTAGGACATGATCCTGAAGAGATGGGCTGAACACTTCCGTAGTGTTCTCAGCAGACCATGATCAACCAGTATTGAAGCCATCCACCATATACCTCAGGTTGAAGAAATAATAGTAATACATATAAACCACATAAATTACTACTAATTTGTCTTCTGTATATGAAGATGAAATTATTGATTTCCTATCCCTTAGAGTTTTTCCAATAGTGGTGATGGAATCAAACTGATTCTCTAAATGATCAGATAGGAAAGGGAAGACTACCTATTTAAACATCTCTGGATAGAATGTTGCACTTGGAGTCAGGAAGATCTAGTTTGAGTCCTGCCTTAGACACTTAATAGCTGTGTGACCCTGGACAAGTCAGTTAACCTCTCTGGGCCTTGTTCTCATCTGTGAAATAGGGATAGTGACAGCACCAAGCTCACAAGGCGGTTGGGACACTCAAATGAGATGCTGTGTGTGAAAGCACTTTGTAAACCTCATGCTACTAAAAGGATGTTATTATTATTATTGTTTTTATGTAAGGGTGCTCTAAGGAATCTGTCCCATGAGGTGCTGAGTATACTGGACTTAGGAATCTGGAGGCTTGGGTACGAGCTGCAGCACAGCCACCAGCCCACAGGTAAGTTGATTTACCTCTCAGAACCTTACCTGCCTGCCTCATTTGTCAGCTCACTCACAGGATTGTTGGGAGATAAATGAGATGATTTCTATAAAATGTCACTATAAAAATATGCGGAATCAAGATCTTTTGTTCCATACACGTTTGTATTTGGCATGTTCAACTTTATGTTTGAGTGACTGTATGAGTGTCAAGGATCTGTGATTTTTGAGGTTAGGATCGTGGGAACTCCTTCTACACAAACAATTGCCATTTGGTCTCTAACTTTGTAGGTAAGACTTAGGACATTTTAAAATCAGAGCTTAAGTAGCTTGCCTGTGATCGTATGGGTACTAAGTATCGAGACAATATTTGAACTGAGGTTTCTTGTCTCCACTGGCCACTGTTGTGCTGAGGTTAATGGGTTTTTTTTGGGGGGGGGGTTAAATCTGTTTTCCTTTAGTGGTATATACAGTAAGGTAGGAGTTCATAGTGTCATAGATTAAGTGCTAGAAGAGGTCTCAGAGACCTTCTAGGACAGCCTCTCATTTCACAGCTGAGGAAGCTGAAGGCCAGAAACATTATGTGACTTAGTTCTGAAAATCCTCTGGCTTCTGAAATTGGGTTTGGACTTAGATGCTGTCCTGATATTTTCATAACCAAAAGGAATTTTTTTTGAAACTTCACCATTACTAACGTGGGAAAAGAATGAATGTATGTTGAATTAGAAATGAGTGTGTCTTTGAATTTAGTAATTATTGAAATGCTTTTTTTCTGTGGTCTTTCTACTCCTGTTTCTGGTCAGAGTGAGAGCAATACCATTGGGTCCTAACCATTGCTTAGTTAGGATTTTTGGCTTATATGAATTTTGGTAAATTAATATCATTATAGGAGTGTGTCTATGTAAAAACATTCCCTTCAGGAGAGCCCTGAAAACATGTAATATTAGGACTATTCTTCCATATGGTAGAATGTCTTGGCAAACACCAGAATTCTTTCTGTAAAAACTGGGCTTTGTTATTCCATAGAAATAGACCATTTTTGACAAGCTGGAAGTCCTAACCTTGAAATGATTTTTTTTTTTACATTGGGCTGTCACATTTTGCAGTTAATTTAAAGGAACTTTGCATTAGAACCAGAAAACTATTCAGTCAGTTTAGCTCTTATGATACAATCTTATGAGTATAGGCACCAGGAAACCTAGTGCTTTCCCACCTGGAAATGGTTTAGTTCTACAGCATGGGTAGAAGAGCATTCTATGTTAGGCACAAACTGGGTGAAAAAACATATAATGATAGTAAGGGTTCCCATTTCTGTATCACTTTAAAGGTAACACCAATATAATTATCCCTGATTTTTAAAGGAGCCCACCGGTTAGAGAAATGAAAGTTATTTGCTCAAGGCTACACAGCCAGAGAGTGTCACCGATGGGATTTGAACACAGGTTTCCTGACTCACAGTCCAGCACTTCTTCAGCTGCATCCTGCTGCCTCCCCTGAAGCTAGTATGAGGGGCCTTGGCTCCAGTCCAGGAGCTGAAGGTGCTGGGACTGTTTTAGTTGCAGCCTGATGTGTAGGGATCCTGAAAATGGTCCTTAATGCCATCTCTTACTAAAACACAGAGAGGTTTGAGTAGATAAATTAATCCTTATGGGCCCTCGAGCTACAGACAAATAAATATCTTTAGGATTCCTGCTCAGTAAGGACAGCTGGCAAAAGAAAGCTAGAGGAGACAGGAGGCAATTCAACGATGGGATTGAAATAAATGGCCAACAGCTGTAGCCAGACAGGAGTCATGGAACCTAGAGAGTAAAATGCAGAATGTGGGAGTCCGTGTCTTCCAGTGAACTTGAGGCTCTACAGAATGAATTATTAAAGATTGGAAGAAGGTGGGAAAGAAGGACTTCCATGGAAATTTCCCCAGGGATTAGGTATATGCTAAATGAATAGCCACCTCAGGAAAATGGTGGCTAAGAACTCCCAGGAAAATCACCTCAGTGATTGAGCACGTTCCAAATGCATACCTGGCCAACTGCTTGGGGGGAGGTAACATGCTATAAATATGGGACAAAGATGGATGTTGCAAGTGTTAATAAGGCGTGATATAATCACTGCTTTACAAAAATAAAAACAGGTGTAAGGACAGTGAAAGGTCTAACAGGGAGTGAAAGAACTGGGTGAACAAAGGCAAGTGGTGATAATTTTAAGAAAGATAATTTTAGGTGTGAAGGAACATGGCATACTCACCAGCTCTTCAAAATCTGTTTCATCTCTTGGGATATTTGGAATAAGTGGGTGTTATTGTTAAAATAATAATCTAAACATACGATTTGGTTTAGGTCTAAAGCTATGATTTCATTGACATAAAGAATCAGGTGAGGAAACCCCTTCTTCGAGTGCAGATCAGCAGGTGCCTGCACTTCAGTCTAGAGAAGACTGGGATACTAAGAACTAAAGAGACATGCCCAGGATCACACAGCCACTATGTGTCAGAGGCCTGAACTTAGGTCCTGTCTACTGTGCCATAGTCCTTTCTATGTAGTTATGTTCCTGCTTAGCTGGAGGCCAGACCTGGGACAACCTCAGCCACGTGGAACATAGCCACAAAGGTATGAGTTAGTGGAGAAGGATTTTGAAGGATGAGGAAAATTGCTATCACATACTCCATGCATTTATTCCCTAGGGACATGGAGCCATTCTGAAGTGAGAGTCCAGTGGCTTAAAATTTTGCGTAAAATTAAGCTGATGGTCGTCATGGGCCATTAGTGTAGGGGCAGACAGCCTTCCACATCTCAATAGTCCCTGAAGTCATCACTTTATTACAGCGTAGTACAATTATTACTGTTCATGGTGATGCCCCGGATCATCAAGACAAAGTTAAATTATGTTCAGTGTACTCTGTTTAATAAGGCATGGCCTAATGCAATATGTTTTAGAGAGAACTCCCTCAAGAAAGTCTAAAATAAAATGGTATGTCAGTTATGTGGAAATATCACTTCTTTGTAATATGCTGTACTTGATAAGACCTGGCAAATGAAACATTCCTGCAGTTATATTGGGTGTAAGAACATATAAATCATCTCCCTGTGGAGTTTTTTCTTCTAACCATCAGTCAGTTTGTTTCCCTCAAATCCCTGTCCTTTCCTAGCGTCTCAGTTATTATTGGTGGTGTTGGTGGTGATTACCCACCTCACTCCCTTGAAGTAAAGTTTAACTGCTGTGTCTCTTACTCCCTCTTTCTGTTCTGTTGCTCCTCTTTCCTTTGCATTCCTTTGAGCATAGCTTCCATGTTGATACCTTTGCATTCAACTTTCTCCCAACTCCAATCTAACTTAACCACAATGCTAAAAATAAATACCCTAGAGAAGGAAGGGGAGACAAGAACTTAGAATTTCTTGAAATCGAGATGCCAGTTGAAAGTCAGACAAAGAAGTGAGGGTATATGAGAGAGAGAGAGGGAGAGAGTGAGAGTGTTTGGTGCTTGTGGTCATGGTCGTGATGAACATGAATCACTTTTAATTGGGCTTGACAAGGGACATATAAGAAAGATTATATTAATAGAAAATGATCAGGGGATGAGGCTAGAGCTTGGAAGGGGAGGATCTGAGTTAAAAGGTGGATTAGGTTAGTAAGGAATTGTTTCAAAGAAAGCAAATCACAACTAAATACAGCTGATCACAAAAATTTAAGAACCAAGGATGGAGGGAAGATTGGGTCCACACTGGAAGGGGATATGTTGGAGGAAGGGAGAGCAATGGTTTCAGATTCTTCTAATCAAAATAAGCTGCACTTATCTAACTACCCACTTATTTTCTTAAAAAAAAAAAAAGACAAACTATCCAATTGAAATAATATAATCTGATTTGATAGAACAGGAAAAAACCTCTTAAGTTATAACTTTGAATGCTAGTTAACTAAATTAGGAGTAAAATTTATTATACATCAACTAATAAAAAGCTGGAGTGCTCATGATTTCAGAAAATATAACAGTGAAAAAATTTCAAGACGAACAGGGAAGCTCCATTTTGCTTAAAAGCATCATAGACAATATCGCGTTATTGTATTGGAAGTTTGGAAGATATATTGGAGGTAAAAGAGGTGATCATGCTCTAATGTTTACTTTCTCTACTATTTAGTAGCAAATGCTTGCTAAAAGGGCATTTTTGTAGTGAGTCAGTATAACCACACCAGAAAAATGAGACACACCCCCCATGTAGCATTTACATATCACAAGCCAAATTTATTGGAAAGACATTTTTTGGTATAATCTGGCATTAGATACTTACTAGCTATGACCCTGGACAAGTCATTTAACCCCACTGCCTCCAAAACAAACAAAAAAAAAAGGAAAGAAAAAAGAAAGAGTGCTATCTCTAATTTGGAAGGACTTTTCTATTGATCATGGTTGTATGTATAACCTTTTTTTAGGGAAAAATGTGTTAAAAAGACTTCTTGTGATACTTACTCATTTACTACCTCCAGTACTTTTCTTGACCTTATTTAACAATCCATTCCCTAAAGTTAAGCAAAATGAGGGTTTAAGAGTAGTCTAAACTGAAAAGCAAAGGTGAGGGCTTATATTAGGAGTCATGGATTGATCTTGTACTTGGGCAAGATTGTTAAGTGAGGAAGGTAGAAAGAGATTTTATCTGTATCCCTCCAAAGTATCTGTGTCTGGTTTTTGTGACCTTGGATATATGCTTCCTGAGGCCTTTGTCCTTTCCAGCAACATTCCAAACTTCAAGCCATATTAAATAATCAATTAACATTTCAAACAGGTATCTCAACACATATTTCTAGTTACGGTGCTCTCACCAATTTGAGGTAGATCAACGAGCAGATTAAAGGACTAGTTCAGTTTAAATATTAAGTATATATATATATATATATATATATGAAAGTGAGAATTGTTGTGATTTCATTGTGCTTCTTTCAGACTTGGATAAATGTAACAAAGATTAGCAAGAAATAAATTATGGATCTAAACAAAATGTTAGAAAAGTGAGGGATGATAAACCTTTA